GTTTGGTGAAGAATGTGGCTGTATTTTGCCCTTGTCTGAAGTGTCTGCTTGAGAAGAGAGTTAGATTAATTCCGTTGGCTAAGGAAATCTCAAAACAGCCTAGTATAGACTCTGTCATGTGGTTATTAGTGGTAACTCTAATGAAGATTTATAATGAAAAGGAGAAATAAAATGCACAACTTGAGGAGAAAAGGAAAATCAGGGAGTGGAAGAGAACTAACTCCTGTGTTCAGGGAGATGAACAGATTAAGAAATAGAATAAAGGGGTTGGTGGCCTCAGGGCAAGATCCCACCCAGCTAAAATTTCCAACTTGTGAAAAGGAACTAAAGCTTAGAGTAGTGTGTGGTATCACAGACCTTTAATCCCCGTGCTCTAGAGGCAGAGGTTGGCAGATCTCCCGAGTTTGAGGCCAACCTGGTCTACACAACAAGTTCCAGAACAGCCAGGTTTAGGCAGTGAAGGTTACCATCGAAAACAGAAAGCTGGTGAAGATGTAATTAAACAAGGAGAGGGGGGGAAGGGGGATGGGGAACATGTTCCAGCACCCCCAAGCAGCAGAACTTGGCAGCTTTGGCCATGCAGTTCTGGATTTAAAGTTAAGTACAGAAGAAAGAATTTACGGAATCTTCCTCGGCAGCTAGGTAAAAGCACTGAGGCAAGACATGTGTCAGGGCTGTCCCTGAATGGTGTCCCTGAATGAGAGGCCATTGCCTGAAGCTGTGAAGTTAAAGCCTGGATTGCCTTGGAGAAGGCAAGATATTGGAGATGTCAGGGTCCTGGGATACTTGCCGAGAAAAGCTGCTAACAGGAAGTGGAACCAGCCCAAGAGAGAGTGTGTTGCATTCAGCAGAGATGAAAGGAGCCAGGGATCTGAAGAGCGCTTTGACGTCAGACATAGATCACAGAGTTTGCAGTTTGCCCAGCTGGTTTTCAGTCTTGCTTTGGCCCAGTATTCCCTATGTCCCCTTCCCTGTGTTTTAGAATGGTAATGAATACCCTATGCCATGATATGCTGGAAGTATGTGATCTGCTTTTTTATTTTGATTTTTTTTACAGAGGATCACAGTTAAGAGAGAGTGTGAATCTCAGAAGAGACTTTGCATTTTAGACTTTTAAATAAGTTGGAGACTGTTGTAGACTATGAGGACTTTTGAAGTTTGGCTGAACACTTTTTTTTTTTTTTTTTTTTGCATTATGATATGGCTACAAGCCTTTGAGGGCCAGAGAGTGGAATGTGATGGTTTGAAAGAAATGGCCCCCAAAGGGAGGGGCATCATTAGGAGGTGTGGCGTTGTTGGAGTAGGTGTGCCCTTGTTGGAGGAAGTGGGTCACTGTAGAGGTGGCCTTTGAGGTCTCATATATATATATGCTTAAGCCACACCCAGTGAGACAGACCACTTCCTGTTGCCTGTGAGTCAAGATATAAGAACGCTTAGCTCCCTCCCCAGCACCACATCTGCCTGCCGCCTTGCTTCTCACCATGATGATAATGGGCTAAACTTCTGAAACTGTAAACATGCCACCACAATTAAATGTTTTCCTTTATAAGAGTTGCCATGGCCATGGTGTCTCTTCCCAGCAATAGAAACCCTAAAACACTAAGTGACATTGTGCAATAAACAACATAATCTTTGTAAACATGTGCGTTTGTATGTAAACATATGTCACTAAATGCATTAATATGTTGATTTGAAAGGATAGCATCAATGGTCATTATAAAGAGAACAGGTAGAGAGTATCATATTGTTTTGTTTGTTTGTTTGTTTTAAGAGGAAGGAACAGCAAGTATTTCAAGCATCTAAATTCTGAGATTGTCAAACTGACTGGATTTGGAAATGCCCAGGGCTTACTGAAGCACACCTTTGGGCATCTGTGAAGATGTTTCTAGAGAAAGGTAACTGAGGAACACTCACTCTGAATATGGGAGGCACCATCTCATTGCCTGGGATCCCAGACTGAACAAAAAGAGGAAAGGAGAAAGGCACTCAGACATCAGCCTCAGCCTCAGCCTCATCAGCATCAGCATCTCTGCTTCCTTACTCACTTCAATGCCAGCCCATAGCTGGTGCTCACTCAAGCTCCTGTGTGGTAGCCAAGAGACACTCCCGCTGCTGCTGCCCCACCCCCTCAAACCGTAAGCCCAAATAGACCTTCTTTCCCTAAACTGATTTTGTAACAGCAACAAGAAGAAAAAGAAACAGCAGAAACACCCTTCACATGGGTAGGGAAACTGATGTGCTGCTATATACATTTGCCTAAATAAAAATGTTCTTGGATTTATAGGCAGTCGGTAGTTGGTGGGGGAGAGGGGAGGTAGGCAGGGCACTGCTAAGGTGTCCTCCCTCCTATAAACAGGCATCTTCCCTCCTGTAAACCCTTGTTCCTGTAAGAAACCCACACGTAACTCATTGGGTCACACAAGTGCACGTGTGTGCACATACACACACACACACACACACACACACAAGACATGAAAGTAGAAGGGGAACCTAACTAGTTGGGAGGAGAGGCAATCAAGCATGATCATACACATTTTATACCTGTGCGAAAACGTCTCGGTGAAACCCATCGTCCTGTGTAATTAACGTATGCTAACAAAAACATGGAAAACATTCTAGTAATTAAAACGCTTGCCAGTGACGTCAGCTCCCTTAGGGCGCGAAGAGCCTTGGTCTGCTCATAGGTTTGTGTAAACAGGCTGAGTAGCAGGGTCAGTAGTATTGCCAAAGCCTGTCTGCATTGAGAACTGAGCTGGAGGAGGCAGCTGCTTGAAGACTCTATGGTAATAAGAAATTTTTATTACAAACCCTATTTATGCTGGAAACCACAGTTTTCTTATAGGTCAACACCAGTGGGGAATGATGCACGGTAATGGAAAATACCTGGATTCCCTGCAGGCATTTTCAGCCTCTTTTCTTCCGCTAGGTTGGCTCTGGAGGGAAATTACACCTTTCTCTTCCTTCCACTTTGGATCAGCTGTGAACAAGATTTCAGAAAATAACAGGAAGGGGGTCATCTGGGCTGGTCCTGGGGTGGTTCCCTGGGGATGAGTGTGGCTTACTCCATCCGAAGCCTTGTGTGTAAGGGAAGTGCTTTCCCTGTTGGTTAGTTTTATGACACAAAGATAAATATGGTTTTACATTTTCTAAATTTAAGTCTGTAGAGCAGCTGCGCGGGTGAGCCGAGATGAAGTACTGCCCTGAGTGGGCTTGGGAGTGGGCTCCAGCACATGGTGGGTTGAGAAGATGGTATTGCTATATGGCTGTAGCATTCCTGGTTATACTTTATCTCTCTTCTCCCCAGGGCTCGAATACCTGCGGGTTATTCGTCCTTTGAGATATATGAAGATGAAAACGAGATGCATAAAATGTGAATTAGTGCTGTGTACACTCTGTTTACCTGGTGTGCAACAGCATGGATCTCCTTTTCTGGGCTTTGTTTTTGATGTCTGTATAAACTGGGTGTGCTCTGATTTTACTGATGGTAAAGCGAGCCATACATGCCTATGGGAAGTGTTGTTTGACATTTAGAACCTTTTCTGTGTCCCAAGATCCTGTCTGAGCACGGGTTCTCAACTGAGGTCATGTCACACAGGGAACACTCATGCCACTTGGTGCCTGGTAGACAGCATAGGCCACACCTAGTTCGTTGTTTACAGATCTGTGTTTCATCTTCAGAGACTCCAATGACGGATGATGGATTTTTCAGAAAGCTGTCACAGATTTAGCACACACAGCCACACTAGTGTGTGTACCTGTGAAGTCACCCTGGTAATCCCTCAGCCCTGTGCATCACATCTGGAACCTGGGAAGGTAGTCTATTAGCTCAGGGCATAGCCAGGTAGGAGACAAGGCCACACCTTCCCCCTTAAGCTGAGATATCAGGGAGAAAAGTGCTGCCTGAGTTGCAGCACAGTAAACATGAGACTGCTGTCTGTCCTTGTCACTAAAAATATCTGCAGTTTCGTTTTAACCTGTACTATATAAGAATTCACACTGCTCTTAGGCTTGGCTATCAACTTAATCATCAACGTGCATCTCTGCGTGTTCGTGATGGTGTTTTGAGGGTCAACTCAACAGGAAGACCCTCCTGAATGTGGGCCCAGACAGAATGCTGACACCAGGAACAGGTGGGCTCTGCTCCTAGACAGATGAGCAGCCTCGGATATGTGGTGTCTCTGTCTGTGCTCACAGCTGGGGGTTAGATGAGGCCAAGGCATTTCCTCCTCTGCATAGCTTTGGGGAGCATTTTGTTACGTTTGCCAGGCTTGACGGTCCGGCCACTGTCTATCCTCTGGAGTACATTATTGATTGCAGAAGCTGCCTATCTGACAGTTTTGAGACATGCACCTGGAGCTTTTGTAACGCTCACTATAAAACAAACACTTTATTAGATTTTACTCCAAAGGTCCTGACAGCTGTCGTGTAAGCTGAGCCACTCACTGGGGCTCTGGAGATTAGGGAATTTGTATAAGCTCACACAAGTGGCTACTACTGTGGAGAATTACACAAGTTTCTCTTTCCAGCCATCTCAGAGCCTACAGGACACGGGAAGCTGGGCTTGCAGGGCTCAGTGTGGCTGTCCTGGAATGCCACAGCCATTGCTTCAAAGTTAATGTGCCGATTTCCTATTATGACCTCTCGGGAAGGGAGGAACAGGACTAGGGACTGACCGCAGTTCACAATTTACTGAAGTCACAGTGTCAGTCCCATGGTGGAGGTACAGCTCTGTGGCCGTGGCATCAATGGACCTGGAGAATATGAGCCCTAGATCAGGAAGGAAATCTTTCTCTGCACCCCCACACCCAATTATTTTTCTTTCTTTCTTTCTTTCTTTCTTTTCTTTTTTTGGTTTTACGAGACAGGGTTTCTCTGTATTATTTTGGAAGCTGTCGGTCCAGCCTGGCCTTGAACTCACAGAGATCCGCCTGCCTCTGCCTCCTGAGTGCTGGGATTAAAGGTGTGCACCACCACCGCCCGGCTGCACCCCCCAATTCTTGGTGAGTGGTTTCATAGTAATATGGGTTCAAATGCTTTCTAGTTTTTATGGGTTTTTTGTTTTGTTTTGTTTTGCTATTCATTATTATTTTTTAGTGGTCCACCTTAAGGGTTTCTATCCAGTGTTCACAAGCTGCTGTTGTTCATGGTGTCACATGAGATTCAGACAATTTCTCATCACCGGCCCACAGTTTGAAGGCACGATCTTTCATGGCAGAGGAGGCATGGTGGTGGGGACAGAAGGTACCTGGTCACTTGGCATCTGCAAGCAGGAAACAAAGAGAGGTGAGTGGGCTGCTCAGCTTACTCCTCCTGCCCTCCTTTTATCAGTCTGGAACCCCCTGGGGTGGTGCCACCCACATTCGGATGGGCCTCTTAAACTGGGTGTGGCCCGTGGGTGATTCTAAGTCCATTCAAGCCAACTATGCAGACGAATAATGATAAACATTTCATTCAGGAACTGGTGCAAATGGAGTGAGCTGGAGGAAATATGGAGCTGTTGATATTATGCATATAGTGGGTCAGATTATTTTCTTTTGCAATATGGAAATGCAGCAAACACCCTTTGAAAGAGAGAATAGGTGAAAAATGATAAATTGTGTCTCTGTGTAGGGCTGTGAGTGCTTTTCCCCTCACTGAGTGGGAAAGGAGTGCTGCCTTCCTTTCTGGTGATTTAGGAACACAGTACCAAAGTTTGTATGTGTGAACTTACTTCCCCGTCTAATGCCACTCACAAAGCCTCCCCAACACTTCATAATATAAATAAAGAGATGCAGATGTCATAGGTCTTCCTTTGGACCACCAGCTGCCAAATAATGGCACATAGACTTTTTATTAATTATGGGAGCCTGGCTTTAGCTTCTTAGGTTTGTTCCCAGCTAGCTCTTAAAACATAAGTTAACCTGCTGATATTAATCTACACTCTGCCACATGGCTTCTTACCTCTCCTCAGTACCATAAGGTTCAACTTCCTCCAAGTCTGGCTGGTGAATCCTCGCTGCTCTGATTGCTACCCTGAGTTTCTATCTCTCCCTGGAAGTCCCGCCTATTTTCTCCTGTCTAGCTCTTTATTGGCCATTCAGCTCTTTATTAAACCATTCAGAAGGTGCCCCGGGCAGGTGAGGTAAAACAAAGACATCTTCACACTGTGATCAAATATTCTGCAACATGCAGACCCTGAACTGGGCTAAAAGAACAGGAGCCCCCACCCCCACCGCCTGCCCCATAGGATCAACAGAGAGGAAGAGTCAGAACACATGTGCGAGGAGATAGATAATACAGTATTCTCCAGAGCTCCTCTTCCTTCCATGATTCCAACAGAGTTTGTAACTGAAGAGGAAGGTGACAATTACATTTTCTTAAAATGATGTAACATACTTTCAAACTATTATGCCTGAAAACAGGTATGATAGGAACTTGTTAAGTCAGGCCCATGTTTGCATCTGTTGGGTGTTTGATCTCCCACATCATTTTTGGTTTGCATTTTTATTAAACAAAACTTTCTACAAATAAGAAGCCAGGACCAAATTTGTAGGTTGCATTTATGTGGCCACAGAGCTCTATTTGTGACTCCTTCTTTCACGATTCAGATATTATTTGTAGTTTGCCCTTTCCACAGTGCTCATTTGTAGTAGGAAATATATTTGTTATTTATTTAGTGGGCCACCTCTTCTACCATGTGATATCCCTTGTCAGCTACAAAAGGGTATGAACACAGAGCAAAGGCATTTCCTCGACAGGTCGGGTTGATATGTGTGGAGAATTTTGGCACTGCAGAGCTGTTCTTCTGGCGTGAGTCTCTGCTCTTGGGGTGTACTTTTAATACCTTGTGTTTATATTGAACTTGAAATCTCATATACAGCAATGCCTGGGTTTGAAATAGACTATGATACATGGATATAAGATCTGGATTGTTCTCATAGCATGGTAACATAGGTTTCAGTTCTTCAAGTGTCTAGTTAAGCTATCAGTGTTATTTAGTGACCTTGTAAGTTTATTTCCTCATGTAGAGAACCATTAAATTAAAATAATAGACCATGCTTTCAGTTAGACTCCATATAATCTTGTGGATCAACAACTGGATTGCTGAGAGAATGCTATAAAGTATTTTTTAATTGTCGGGCATTGGTGGTGCACGCCTTTAATCCCAGCACGTGGGAGGCAGAGGCAGACAGATCTCTATGAGTAGTTGGAGGCTAGTCTGGTCCAAAGATACACAGAGAAACCCTGTCTGGAAAAACCAAAACCAAAACCAAAACCAAAAACACCCAACATTTTATAATTGATTTATTTCACCATTCCATGCCTTAAGATTATAAATGTGCCTGGGGTATATAATTCATGACAGTGGAATAGCATTATACTCTAAATGCTAGAAGTTTTTATCTGTTTACTAAACAAGTTCACTAAACTAAGTTTAAAATTTTAAAATTTGCTTGCTTCGAGGAGTTGGTGGCGCACGCCTTCAATCCCAGCACTCAGGAGGCAGATGCAGAGGCAGGCAGATCTCTGTGAGTTCAAGGCCAGCTAGGACAGCCTCCAAAACAATACAGAGAAACCCTGTTTTGAACCCCCCCCAAGAAAATTTGCTTGCTAAACAAAAGATACTCTGTTACTTTTCTGTTGCTGTGATCACATATCATAGCCAAAAGCAACTCATAGGGGAAGAATTTATTTTGGATTATGTTTCTAGGGGGAAGAGATGGTGACAGACGGCCAGACAGGAAGCTGAGAGATCATTTCTCAACCACACACAGGAAGCAGAAATCAAACAGGAAGTGGAGCGTGGCTCTAAACCCTTGGAACCCTACTCCGATGTAGTACTTCCTTCAACACGGCTGAACCTTCTAGAGGGTTATGTAACCTCCCAAAATAGCACCAGGAAGAAGTTATAGCAGGAACTCACAGCATGGCAGAAACCTGGAGGCAGGAACTGTTGCAGAACCTGTGGAGGAATATGCCACTTACTGGCTTGCTCTCACGGCTTGTTCAGCAGCCTTCTTCCTTACAGGGATGGCACCATTTATAATGAATGGGTTGGATCCTCCCACATTAATTAAGAAAATGCCCTACAGGACTGTCTACAATGGAGGCATTTCCTCATTTGGGCTTCTCTCCTCTCAGATGGCTCAAATTAACCAGCACACATGGGAAGATATTGGGAATGAATGTACCTTCGTTTAGCTCTAACTCTTGAAGTTGAATCATGTAACAATGAACAAAACCACTAGACTTAGAGTCCTGTGGTAGCATCTTGCTTTGCCAGTGAACTTGTAGTAGCATCCACATCTTTGGGTGTGGCTTCAGGTGGCAGTGGTGGGCATGAGCTCTCCTGGGTCGCTGAGAGCGTTGGAAGGGCAGAGACTGCGTCTTCTGGAGCAGGAAAGCCACGACGGTAATTTACTCTTATCTGTGTAAGTTCTTCCCTAATAAAACACCTATTTATCATTCATCTGGGGTCTGGTGAACTCATTTAAACTCCGCCTTCAGAGCCCCATCATTGAAGAAGAATGTGCAAAAGTTACTAAGGATCTGGGTATGGTCTCAGCTGATTCTGCATTCCGTTCCTTCCCCTTGAGTGTTGTAGATGAGTTGAGAAGGGTTCACAAGCTCATCTTCCAGGCACCTTTTCAAGGCATTCTCACCAATCCAGGGTGGAGGAGACAGATTTCTTCTCTGTAGAATCTTAAGGTATTTTTATCAGGAGGCATTTCCAGATACGTGGAAAGACTTCCGATAGGCCTACTAACTTCTGTTGCTGCTAGTTAATAAGCAGACGGAGGAGACATGCTGTTGTGTAAGCTCTTAGCCCTGGCTCAGAGTACACTGTAGGCTCTCTTTTCTCTTCAGATTTCTCACGTGAGTTTTGGATACTTTTTTTTCTCCAGCTTCTCATTGTTTTGACTTGAGACTCACTATTGCCACAGATTCATAATAGTGACCGTGAGCTTTGGAGACAGAAATCTAATATATTCTGAATATTTGTACTTTACAGGTAAAATGAAGACAGACCAATGGGTCAAAGTCAGACTGAACCCAAGTGTGTTAACATGTTGTGGTAGGTTTTCCATCGCTGTACAGATACCTCAGATGAACAAACATTAAGAAAGGAAAGCCTTATTTTAGCTCACAGTTCTGGAGGTTTCAATGATTGGTCATTTGCTCCCATTGCCCTGGCCTTGATGGGAGCAAGTGGAAGAAACAGAAAGAGACAGGAAGGAATGATGTCCCAATATCTCCTTCAAGGACACATCCCCAATGACCTAACTTCTTTTCATTGGGACTTCCTCCAAGAAGTGCTGCCCACTTCCATTAGCACAGGACTGAACCAAACCTTTCAACACATGGTTCTTTAAGGAACATTTAAAGTTCAAACCATGATATACGACACTAAGGAAACCACAACTTAGATTTAAATTGCTTTTTAAATTGATGTTTTAATGCCAATCATAGTCTAAATTGTTTCTAAAGCCCTGCATGGTTGGAGCTTTAAAATCATACAACGTGTGTAATCACATCTGATATGGGCATTAGAATGTGGTACTGATTATGGAAATTAAACAGTGAATGGGCCTGGAAGATGCTATAGCTACACATATAGATGCCTAGTGTCTGTTCCCATCCCCAAAGTCACCCTCAGGTCCAGTATTTGACAGGGAGATGGGCACATGGTCTAGGAGTTTGGATGTTATTTGCTGATTTCTGAGTCTTCAACTCTATTGCCTGTTTTTTCTATTTCTCATTAGTTCGGACCACAGCCAAGAGTGTGTGATGATCCCTATTCCCCAAAGACATAACTAACAATAGTTATTGTTATATTCTAATGATTACTGTTAACCATTTCAGATGATGGAAACGTTTTGGGTAACGAAAGCAAAGAGCATGTATCTGCAAGATGACTCTCCCCTCCATTTCACTCACTGGTACAATAGGAGTGGGGAGCTTGAAAAGTTCCGAATTTCAGCAAGATTTGTTGAAAAGCAATGAATGATACAGTTGCTAGAAACTAATTTTAAAAAAACTTAATTGAACTGAAAAGTAAGAATGAAGAGTTTCCTTAAGCTTTTGGTAATCATGCTACGAAAGTTACATTGTTACTGCTTTGGTTTGTGAGATAGAGTCCTGCTATGTAGCCCAGGCTGGCCTCAAGTTTGTGGTATTCCGTTGCCTCTGCATTCCAAGTATTGAATTACAGGTATCAACCACTTTACCCAGCCAAAAGTTTGTCCTTGTTTTGTTTGTTCTGTGGTTAGTTTTTGATAATGAGTCTCCTGTAACCCAGGCTTCCTTCAAACTTGCTGGGGAGTCAAGGACAGCCCACCACCTCACACATGCTGGGATTACAGGCTGCACTGCTACAGTTAGCTCTAAGTTTCTGCATTGTAACACAGAGAACTAAGCTCTTCTATACACTAGATTGGACTCCAGATGCCATTTGCAAAAGGAGCCAGTGTCTGAATACAGAGACTTGAATAATGGATTTGAAATGACCTTCCCTGTCTTGACTATTCTCTACTTCCACTATTAACATTTTCTTATATGTCTTACACTTATTGGTCCCTAACAAGTTCTAGTTAAATGGATCATGATGCCAAAGGCGGAAAATAAAAATTGGTGCAAGAATCATCTCCTTGTCTTTGTACAATAAGTGCAATTTGTACAAGGAATGGTTTCACAGTAATGACGGTTGACATCCCACTAAGTCAGTCTGGTTTGCTGTATTTTGACATTGGAAAACTCTCTGATTCAGCTGAAAGTGTTTCTCTTTTTCCAATGTTCCAGTGACTGACAGTTTCTATTTATAACTGGTTTTATCTCCCCACAGAAGCATTAAGATGCTCTCAGTGAGAAGGTTATCAAAGAAGTACAACTGTGCCGTGTAGCACTTTGATCCACCCGTCAGCTTTACTCCAACTTCTCCAACTCCTGTAATCAATTATACGAAGCATGAATGGAGATGTCTAATTAAAAACCAAGCTTCTATGGGGGTGCTAAAGAAAGAGCCCTAAGTTTTACCAATTTTTTTAAAGGAGTAATTCAGGGTGGGAAGAATCTGTCCATCCATTCACCCATCCACCCATCCACCCATCTACCCCTCCATCCATCTACTCATCCACCCATGCATCCAAGTTTACAAAGGGTATACGTAGTCTAACATTTTTTCTTTGAGACCACATATCCAGGCTGGCTCAAACTTAACTATGCTGCTTGGGATGACTTTAAACTTTGATCCTCCTGCCCTGCTCTGTTCTGAGCCTGAACGTGTGCACCACCACAGCCTATTAGTGCAGGGTTGAAGACCCAACCCAGGGTTTTGTACATGCTAAGTAGGCATTCCACCAACTAAACACCCCCAGTCCCATAATTTTAAAAAATGCATTTTTTAAATCCTTGTTGGCAATTTTTCCTCAAAACTTTTACTTGTGTACAGCTATACTTTGCTGTTCTTTCCCACATTCTAGAATACTTTGTGGTTAAATATGACAGAGTTTATTAAAATCTTAGAGTTATTATCATATTGTTTTGAACAACCTGCTTGGAAGAGGTTAGATGTAGGAATAAAGAGGAGTAAACCAGGTGGTGGTGGTGCATACTCCCAGCACTCAGGAGGCAGAGGCAGGCAGACCTCTGTGGGTTCAAGGCCAGCCTGGTCTACAAAGCTACACAGAGAAACTCTGTCTTGGAAAACCAAAATGGGGAAAAAAGAGGAGTCATTAGGGCTAAAGTTGCATGTCTAGTACCATGCATTTATTTTATCCCATGAAACATTCCCTTCTAGGGGAGGAGAGAAGCTCCTGACTGTTAGGAAGCAAATGAAACACACAAGACCCAGGAATTAAACCAATCTTACAAGGCTGTCAAAACTTCTGAAACTTACAATGGGTCACAAGGTCCCTTCTAGGGATTATGGAAGCAGTAATAGTTCCTGAGAAGACCATAGCTGAGCAATCAACTACCTCAAACCAGTTCAGCAAACTCCAGGGATGTAATTTTCCTGAGTAGGCCAGGAAGTCAAGTCTGAGGTGATTTAAAGTTTGAATACTTGGCTCCCCAGTTGGTGGAACTGTTAAGGAAAGATTAGGGGGTGTGGCCTTGTGGGTGGAGGTGTGTCACTGGGGACTGACTCACACTGTTCCCAGTGTTCTGCCTCTTGCTTGTGGTTAGAGATTTGAGCTTTCAACTGTTCTTGACACCAGGCCATCTGTCCCCCATCATGGACTCTAACCCTCTGAAACTGTAAGCCCAGCTAAACACTTTCTTTTATAAGTTGCCTTGGTTATGTTTTTTTTCTTGCAGCAATAGAAAAGTAACGGAGAAAGGGTCACACAGTGCCTCAGTAGGCAGCTGCAGGGCTGACCTCCCTTTAGCCTGATGGAGGACAGTTAGTTTTAAATATGACCCTGGGGTGAACCCTCATTTCCAGGTCACCTCCACCCCTCTAGTTGCTTTGCTGCCATCAAGGAGTAGGGTTTGACACATGAGGCCATCTCCACATGGTCAGTTTGTGACATATGCCAACTCAGATCCACCACTCCCACCCAGGACTTTCAATACCCCTCTACCCCTTGATCTAACTCCGCTTGCAGTGGCTCCTTTCCTTGTAAAGTGGTCTATTCCCTTATGAGGGGGTAATTTTTTTCTGATTTCTTAAGTTCAGTTCCTTGGTGGTGCTTCGAAGTTGTACAGGTAAAAGGAGCAGGCAGAGCAGGTTTCTCCGTCTCCTGGTTCCGTTGCAAACAGGGTCTGCACCCTTTAAAAACACATTCTGCGTGGTTTCCAAGAGGGGCTGAGGCAGGCTGCAGGATTAAACTGGCGTCGAATTCATACCGGCAGTCCTGCCACGGTGTCTTCGTATTTTCTTCGCAGCAACCTGCTTTCGATCTTCCAAAGGAAGGGTGTGAGAAATGCGGTTGGCCTGGGATCTGAGACAGATGTTTCCACCGAGTTGCACTCATCTCAGTTGATTGGTTTCTTTAGGGCTTGGGACCAGGAGAGTGTGGCGGGAATTCAGGGAGTGCATGGTAAATTGAATGTGGAGAGAGCGCGGGCAAATGCTTTCACTAGACCAAACGTGGTGCATGGCTGACTTAACTTCCCTATGAGTTTCTTCAGTTAATCATGGCAAAGAAGTTGAAAGGGCAGAGAAATCAAAGGGAGGATTCACTGGGCGTTTGCCATCTTGCCTGTGAAAAAGGAATAGGAGGTGCCAAGGAGAAAGGAATAGGAGGTGCCAAGGAGACTAACGTCTGAGCCTACTTGGAGCCAGAAATTTAAAATTACTCCCTCTGCCAAGAAAAGCAATTACATGAAAGTCGGTTCAGATATAGTTTCAAAGCTGCATAATTTGAAAAAAAAAAGAAAAGAAAAACACAATTTTGGAAGCTAAGCACAAATCAGATCGCAAATGATAAGAAATGTTAATGTGAAGAGATGCGATGTTCACCAGGGC